TTTCTCCTTCTCTAAGTGAGGGTCATTCTGACTTCAGGCCCCTGGGCCTCGGAGCTGGAGGGACACTGGGCCTTAGCCGGGTTTGGGCCTGTCCCACCCTGTCCAGTCAGGGTGAGGGCCCAGACGCCTGCCAGGCTGAATGGGCTCTGGAATCAGAGGTGCGGCCAACCTGGGCATGACCCACACGGGTGGGGCTGGGGCCACATCCCGCCGGCAGGGTGCCTTGCCCCCACTCCCAGGCGTCGCGGGCAGGGCTGGGTCTAGGGGTCCGGGAGGCTGGAAGGCCCCGGGCTGGCCGGTTTCTCCCAGAGCAGACGGAGCCCCCAGCGGCTTGGGGCCTCCCACCTCCCGGAGCTGGACCTACTGAGTGTCCTCAGCTCCGCCTCCAGAGTGGGCATCAACCTCCCTCAGTTTGGGGAAACAGGACCCAGAAGAGGAAGCGGCCTCCAATTCTGCTTTCGGCCAAAGGGTGTAAACTTCCCGCAGGCAAGGGAGAGCCACGGAGGAGAAGCACCGATGATCCCTCATGGGCGTGTTACCCCAGGGGACCCTCGCCTCGCGCGGGAAAAGTGCTCCCGTCTTGTATGTGAGACCCTGGGCCGTCCAGAGCGGCTCAGTTACTGACGCTCGAGCCCAGCAAGAGAGGGACAGATCCCAAAGTGACCCCTCAGCCCCACGCTGGCTGCCCCGAGCCCCTCCTGCCCCCACAGCCCGTTGCCTTCTCTGGGAAGACCCAGGTCAGTGACCCTCTGTGCTCAGCCCTTCCGAGAGAGCCCACGCCCAGGGTCCAGGGGCTTGGGGAAGGGGCTAAATTCCTCCTCATCAGGCCCGTGAGCAGGGGTACCTCCCCGAGCAACCACAGAACTGCGTGCTCTGGGGTCTCTATGGACACTGGGCCCAACCCCACCCCCGGGTCATGCATGTAACAGCAGGTGTGTGACCAGATGGTCCAGCCAGGCGTGAGGCGCTCTCCAGGCTGGCCGGGATCTGCCGGCTAGCCCTGCCCTGGGGTTCAAAGACCTCAGGACACCGACATGGGGGGGCCGTCCTTCCAGCTGGAGCCACTGGCCAAGCAGGGAGCAGACCTTCCGGACTCCACCAGGCAAGGACAGTCTCCATTCCTCACCCCCCTGCCCTGCCTGCATCTTCTCCGACCTCAGCCAGTGTCCTGACAGAGGCCAGGAGGCGAGGCAGCTCAGGGTCCAAGGAGGCCAGGCCCCAGGCCCAGAGTCAGTGCCCCGAGCCCCCACCGCCAGGACCCCAGGAGCCCCCGGAGCTGTGCTGGCCAGGACAGTGTTCCCGGGAACAGCACGTCCCTGGTCCCCGATTGGTCAGGCAGCCAGTGGTTCCCAGGAAGGGTGTGGGACCCTGCTCCCCTCTCCAGGGCCAGTGGGGAGGGCTGCTGGCCCCACACCCGCATATTTCAGGGCACAGGACAGCCTGTCAGCCAGGGGCCCGGGGAGCCGCCCGCCATCCCCATCCCGCCCCAACTTGGATGCAAGTGTGACAGTTACTGTCCCTCAGGGGCGTGCCCTGGTCACGTGAGGCCGGCTCACGGCTCAGCTATTTAATTATCTCAGAAGGGGGAAACAGCAAAAATATTCAACCCCAAACAGTCCACTGGACTTGTATCTGTTCTTCAGGAAAATGCACCGTTCTTCCAGAGGCCCCCACTCCTTCCTCTCCCAAACCCGCTCCCACCCACCCCTCCACGGGCATCTGGGATGGGCCAGCGGACTGGGGCTGGTTCTCGGGGCTCTGGGGCCCCCCGACCCACTCCGCCACCTCCCCCGACCTGCTCCGTGTGGCCATGATAGGGGCTGAGCTTGGTTCTTATCACAAAGGGGTGTTTTTAAAGAAGACCCTCCCAACAAGTATGAGAGCCACGACAAAAGTCCCGGCCACCACGTGTCAGTCTTCGTGCCAGGCACAGGATCAGATGTGAAACACGCGTGACAGTGTGCCGACCTCACGAGGAAGCCATGGAAAGCTGAGGTTTAGGAACAAACACCCCAGACCAGGATCCATGCTGGAGGCAGCAGAGCCGAGGGCTGACCTGGGGGTCCGGTTCCCGGGAGGGGTCGGGGGGCGCTCCCAGCCCAGCAGGCTGTCCCACCCACGAGCCCAGGACAGGAAGAACAGAGCCTCTGACCTGTGTCCCTTCTGCCTTCATTCTCCATATTTCGGAAGCTCTGGCTTCTGGGGCCTCGGTGATCCTGCAGGGACCATCCCTCCCGGGCACAGGAACCATTGCCTGGGAACTTGCTCTTCAAATGCAAACCAGCCCAGTGGCCCAGTAGCCCGCTATCTCCCGCCCTGGTCAAGCCGGCTGGTCTCAGACAGCAGGGACAGCCCCTGACTTACTCGGATGGGCCCATCCTCAGCCCACTTGCCTGGCCTGGCCAAGTCCGACTAAAACCACAGGAAGGGCTCCTGCCCAACGTCCTCCTGCCTCGGCCTGCTGAGCAGCCGGCCACTCCCCAGCAGTGGTCTCCAGTAGCCTACCCCTCTTCTGACGATCATCCCCGATGCGCTGGCCTCAGTGCCCACATGCAGACGTGGGCTGGCCAGTGGCTTGGGTGTGGTGCTAGGCGGCCCCGCTGCCAGGGAGTGGGGGCCCCTCCCTCTGTCCCCACCTGCCCCTGGGGGGTCTGGGCAATCTCGGCTCCCCACTCTGGCTCTCAGAGGTGCTGGTTTTGCCCAGAGGCTCAGATGGGATGTTGGCTGTGGAAACCGTGTGAGACAGGTTCACCCCACACCCCCCACCCGTTGCCAGTCCCTCTGTTTCTCCCGACGTGGGCTCCTCACTGACATGTCCACTGACTCCTCCACGACATGTCCCTAACCTGTGACGTCCCCCTCACCTGCAGACTTGGGACCCGAGGGACAGAGGCACGCTGGCCTCCTGCCGCCCCAGAGCTGGGCTGGGATTGAACCGGGTGAAGCTGCCCATGGCGAATGTCAAGAACAGTCGCCTTCTGGCCACTTTACCCCACGGAGCCCCGCGTGGCACAGTCAGGCACCAGCTGCGAAAGCAGCTCAGGAAAGACGCAGCTAAACATACAGCACGTGGCGTTTCTGGCTTCGGCCCAGCCTCCGAGGGCCTGAGAACGCGGAGCCTTTCGGAACCGAGCGCCGTGTGTGCTCTGGCGGGGAGAGGCACGCAACGCAGTTGGCCTGGCCGCCGCCCCCACGAGGTCCACACTGCCCCCAGACAGGTAAGCCACACTTCCTGGCCTCGGGGAGCCCGTCCGCAGGTCAGGGGACCAGACGTGTTGGGGGTGGCCGCAGGAGTAAGTGGGATGCCCCACGGAGAGCGCGGACAGCAGAGCGGCCTCCCCTCCCTGTCCTGGGGCAGCCACGACGCAGGACCACGACAGAGGGGCACGACGGAGGGCCACAACAGCTTCCTGCAACAGAAGGGACGCTCTCCCAGTCTGGAAGCTGCAAGTCTGAATGCCGGTGTTCCCGGGCCGTGCTCCCTCCAGGGTTCCAGGGATGGGCCTTCCTGCCTCTTCTAGCTCCTGGGGCTCCAAGCATCCCTGGGCTGTGGCCACGCTACCCTCCACCCTCCCCCAACAGCCTCTGCCTCCGTGGTCTTGTGGCTTTTTCTTTCCCTGTGTGTGTCCTCTCGCTTCTAAGGACACCTGTCCCTGGGTTAGGGTCCGCCCAGGTAATCCAGGACGCCCTCCTCTCAAACCCTTCCCTCACTTCTGACAGACCCTTTTCCCCCATAAGGCCGCCCTCCCAGCTTGCAGACTTGCCACGGACGGTCTCCCAGGGCCCCGTGCAGCCCGCTGCAGGCGTCACGCCACTGTTCTTACTGCCACCAATGGAGAGCCTGGCAGGTGTGAGGCTCCACTCATGGCGGGGGACAGAAAACGCCAGGTAGGACCTCCCCACAGGATAGGGATGGGATAGTCAGCATGGGGGCAATGGAGGCGTGCTGGGGACAGCTGCCCCGGAAAGCTGGGAGGGTCAGAGCGAGGGGAGTGTCTGGAGGCGCTGAGGAAGGTCCTGAGGCTCCAGCATGTTGCAGGGGGAGCAGGCAGGGCAGGTAGGGGTGCGTCGCGCAGAGGACACAGGCCACCTGGCCTGCAGGCTGCACACGTGGTTCGCGTTTTTAGGCAAAGCACAGGAAGGCCGGGAGCTGGGGAGTCAGCAACCTTCGTCTGGGCTCGGGCTGGCCCCCTGTGTTAGGGGAATGAGCCCGAGGCCCCTGGGAACCACGGGGACACAGCATCTTTCCAGCACTGTTTCTGACACGGAGCGGGCGAGCTCGGGAGTCCCCAGCAGCCACAGACAGAACACAGTCGGTGGAAGAGGAAATTCCTCGTGGGGAACGTCTCAGGCTCTACGGCTCTGCAGAACACAACTTGGGAAAGTCTTTTAACCCCAAAACATCTGCTGACGGCTGGCCCCCAGGGTCTGCGGCCCGCATATGGTGGGAAGGGGGGTCCTTGGGAAGGGGAACCAACCTCTGTGGACCACCTGCAGCAATGCCCGCCAGTGACCCCTCATGAGACCCAGCCCCAAGCCAGGTGCTGAGCTCTACACCAAGGGCCAGTCCAAGAAGGGGGAAACTGAGGCACAGGGGTGGCAGGTCCTTCTTTCAAGGGCCAGGACATGCCCACGCTCCTGCCTCCCATGCATCTCTGCCACAAACCAAAGGGCCTCGGGAGGAAGCACCATGGAACCACCCAGAAGGCGTGGCCGGCCTGACTGGACATGGGGTCTGCAGCCTGCCGCTTCCTCCCCTTCAGGCATCGGGCGGGCGTCGGGGGCACTGGCATCCAGGATGGGCTGAGGAGGAAGGCTCGGGCCAGCCCACACTGCCTGGACATCTCTGAGCTCATCCCTGTGAACAGGCAGCACACCCCTCCCATTTCCAGGGAACTGGCCCAGACGCCTTCGGTCCAGCCCTCTAGGCCCCAGAGGACACGAGAGGATTTAGGGCGGGTGGTGAGTGCAGCGGCTCCAGCAGATCTCAGAGAGGCTCCCAACAGCAGGTGAGAAGCCTCCGTGCCCCTCCAGCCAAGCACCTGCTCTGCCCAGGTGAGGAGACAGTCCTCCGAGGACGCTGGGGGACCGACATGGGGACACGGGTCTGGGGAAGCAGACAGAGGTAGCTGGTGCTCTGGGTCCCCTTTTGGGTCAACGGGCAGGTGTACCTGTTCTGAGAGTCCGGACACTGAGCCGTTCCAGCACGTCCCCCTCCCTGGCACAGCCTGGCCTCCCCACCGCTGGCCTCCAAGCCCAGAGTCCACTCAGCCCTCTTGACATACACTGGGGACAGCACAGCCCAGAAAGGAAAGGGCCAGCACAGTCACCCAGGACACCAAAGGCCGACCCAGCTCGCTGGACCTGAGAATGAGCCGCCATGTGCCCTGATATGGGACAAGGCTCAAGGGGACAAAGGCGAGACTCCATGGGGGACAAGGGCAACCAAGAGAAGGATGCTTGGGGTGCCAGGCTGGGGTGCTCAGAGCAGGCAGAGGAAGGGGAGCCAAGAGGAGAGAGCAGGTCCTTAGGGTAGATAGGACCTGGGTAAGTGGGGAGGGGGTCAGGGTACCCCAGCAGGACATAGCCCAGCAAAGGTGTGTGGGGGGAAGCCAAAGGGTGTCAGGTGAGCCCTGTCTCTCTCTGTCCACCATCTGTTTCCCTCTTCATCTCTGACTCTTTCAGTTTTACCTGGTCTCTGTCCCCCACCGCTGTCTCTGTCCTCCCCCATTGCTCTCTGCACCCCACACCCCCTAACCTGGAGCCAGGGTCTTGCCAGCCTCTGAGTTGGCATCTCTGGGCTGAGAACAAGGCCCACTGTGGGTCTGGGAGGAGGGGTATAGGAAAGGGACAGGTTTCGAGAGACCCTCAGCTGCCCCAGTAGACGTCCCTGGGACCCAGTCTCCCTCCCCTGGAGACTGTCCCAAGCAGGGCACAGCCTGGACGGGGACAGAACTGTCGGCTGCTGGTGGCAAGCACTCCCATTAGCTTCTCCCCAGAGGACCCAGGGCTCTGGAACCCATCGCTGCAGTCAGAGCAGCCCGTCCCCAACGTCCCTACAGCAGGAGTGCTGGGGGGTTTAACCTCTGCCCGGGTGAGGCTGGGGTCTCCGCAGCCCTCTCACACCCTCCCAGCCACCTGCTGCTCCCACCACAGCATCTTCCTTCCCCTCTCGCCAGCGCAGGACAGTGTCCTTGGGCCTCAGAGCCTCTGGGGTGGGGGACTTAGCAGGAGTGGGGTCCAGGCCCTCCTGGTGGGAAGCCAGGTCCCGATGGAGGAGGCAGGAAGCCCCTGCATGGCAGAGCCTCACGGGGGTCCCTGTGCCTGCGGACCTCTGCCACTGTGCAGGGCCCTGGAAATCTTAGGTGCCTTCCGTGGAGCACCCCCTCGCCAGGAGGAGGGCAGGGCCCGCACCCACTGGTCAGCGCCCCCCCATACCCCACACTAGGCACAGCTTGCCACGCAGTCTGAGGACCGAAGTGTCAGGCCTGGCCGGGGAGGGCCCCCCCCCCACCCCGGTGCCGGAACACCACGACCTGGGGCCATGCTCCGCCCCGTACGCAGGGCCCACTGCCAGCAGCGCTGTCTGCCCCTTCCCCCCAGGGCCGCCCGCCGTGGAGCCAGCCGGGATGTTCGGGCTCTGGAGAACCGTCAACAATGTGCTCTTCTACCTCACCCTGGCCGTGGGCCTCGCAGGCCTGCTGGGCAACGGGCTGGTCCTCTGGCACCTGGGCCTGCACATCAAGAAGGGCCCCTTGTCCCTGTACCTGCTCCACCTGGCAGCGGCCGACTTCCTCTTCCTTGGCTGCCAGGTGGGCCTCTCCGCTGCGCAGGCCGCCCTGGGCGCCCAGGACAGCCTCTACTTTGTGGTCCCCTTCCTGGGCTTCTCCGCGGGCCTCTGGCTGCTGGCGGCCTTCAGCGCCGAGCGCTGCCTCTCCCACCTCTTCCCGGCCTGCTACCGGGGCCGCCGGCCCAGGCACACCTCCGCCGTGGTCTGCGGCCTCATCTGGGCCCTGACGCCGCCCGCCGTGCTGCTGCCAGCCCACGCCTGCGGCCTGCTGGGGGGCCGCGCGCGCCCGGGGACCTGCCTGCGGTACCACGCGGCCAGCGTCACGTGGCTGCTGTCCCTGGTGTGCGGGGCCTGCGGGGCCGGCCTGGTGCTCTTCGTCTGGGGGGGCTGCTGCTCCCAGCGCCCGCGGCCCCAGTTCTTTGGGGTCACGGTGGGCTCTGCGCTCCTGCTCCTGCTCTGCGGCCTGCCCCTGGTCTTCTGCTGGAGTCTGCGGCCGCTGCTCGGCTTCCTGCTGCCGCTCTTCCTCCCGCTGGCCACGCTGCTGGCCTGCGTCCACGGCAGCGCCAAGCCGCTCTTCCACTTCATGGCCGGCCGCCAGCCAGGCCCCCCGCAGCCGCTGCGGGCCGTGCTCCGGCGGGCCCTGGGGGAGCAGGCCCCGCTGGAGGCCGGGGGGCTGTCCCTGCCCATGGGCCTCCTGTAGCTAGCTGCCAGCCAGGATGGACCCTTCCCCGGGGACCGCGTGGCACCCCGGCTCACCGGCCCAGGGGACCCCAGGCTGAGGACAGGGCCAGGGCGGTGGTCTTGACCCCTGCAGCCCCCGGAGCCTGAGGAGGTCCAGGAGCCCGGGGGTGGGGAAGGACCCAGGGGCGCGGAGCAGCGCATCCCCAGGCAGAGCCCCCCGCCCCGCTCCCCCCCCACTCCGGCCTCCTTCCCACCCTGCCCCAGCTCAGGCCGCAGGCACCGAGGCGCACCTGGAAAAGCAGGGCTGACAGGTGGCCCCAAGGCCCACGAGGGGGGCTGGACGGACGGGAGCGCACGGGATGGCGGTGCCCACGCGCTTGACTCTTCCTCCGCGAGAGCGGCGTGGAACCCGGCCGCGCCCCCGCACCCCGCCCCCGGCGGCCGCGCCCCCGCCCCCCCAACTCCGGCGGCCGCGCTCCGGCACCCTAGCAGTTCCTCGCCGGCCGCCAAACAGCCCTGCGTCCTCACCAAGTGCGGCGCGCGGGGCGGTGGCGGGGGGGGGGGCTCGCTGCAGGGGGCGGGCACAGCCGCGGGGGGCGGGGCTCGCTGCAGGGGGCGGGCACAGCCGCGGGGGGCGGGGCTCGCTGCAGGGGGCGGGCACAGCCGCGGGGGGCGGGGCTACCCTCCCGGCCCCGCCCCCGGGCGAGCGTCCCGGGCACCCGGCAGCGCGCAGGCTGCTGTGGCCCGCGACCCCCACCCTCATCCTCCGCACCTCCCCCGAGTCCTGTGCTCTTCCTCGCATCGCCCCATCCCTGCCCGCTCCTTGCAGACCCTCCCCTGCGCGGCTTGCCCTGGCGCTTTCCTCGTGAAGGAAGTGAGAGAGAGAGAGAGAGAGACAGGGAGGGACTGGGAAGGACAGGAAGGGGAGGGAGGGACAGGGACAAGGGCGGACGGAGTGGGGGGGGTGGGCATGCAGCCAAGCTTTCTAGCTTTCAAAGTGCAAATCACTTTGTGGATTTTCGGACGATTGAAAAAAGGTAGCTCACGGCCACAGTCCAGCATTCAAGCCCCGCGGGAGATACTGAAACTCCGGAGTCAGAGGGAGGCGCACTGGGTGCCAGCCCTTAGGCTCTATGTCCCCAGTAGGGACCCGCAGAAACGTGGGCTGTAACCAAAAGGAGGACACTGCCCCCACCCCAACTCTGTACCTGTCACAACGAAGCCTTTTCCAAGCCCAGGAGGTTTGTTCGAGAAAGTGGTCTGTGCGTCTCCCGGGAAGCGCCCCGCAGCTGCCTGCGGGAAGGTCAGGCCACGTTAAGAAGCGGAGAGAAGGAGGTGTCACCACCCACAACCCGGAGTCACCTGCTTCTGCATGTTTTCCGTGCCCGGGGTGTGGGGTGCTGCACAGGACCCGCTCCGGCCACACCAAGCCCCTCACGCCCGGCCCGCCGGGTTTCCCCAGGCCTCGCACGCCAGGAGATGGCGGGGAGAACTCAGTCTGATGGATGTGCGGCCAGGAGCAAACGCCAAGAACGAATTCTTGAGCCTATTTCGGTGCAAAAAAGGTTTTATTTAAAGCACAGGAACTGGACCCGTGGGCAGGAGGAGGGGCCCTGGGGTTGGGAGGGCTGGTGATCTTGTACTTTCAGGTTGGGAGGGGCAGAATAAAGGATGATTCCCAAAGCATCTTCATATGTTAAAGAAGACCCCCAGATCCCGGAGGGCTATTGTCAGGCTAGGATGACTTTTGCCAGTAGCATTAGCAGCTGGGGCTGGGGTTCCGAGGAAGGTGGCTCTGCCTGTCTCCCGCACTTGTCAGTGGGCTGCAGGTTGTAAGGACGTTTGATTTTACCTACACTTCTTCGCCGTTGTTTTCGTCCAGTCTAAAGGCCGTCCTGAGGCTCTGGGAGTGTAGGGGAAGGGCCCTGAGCCCTGAGAGGTCAGGGAGGCTGCTTTGGGGGTGGGATGCTGTGGGGTGCGAGGGGCTGCCCATTCTTGTGACGTTTCTTGCCAGACTGCAAAGAGGGGTGTGGCCTCCTTCTTGGAAGGCCTAGGAATGGGATGAGGGTTAGGGGAGCATTTTCAGAGCTGGGGTGCCCCAGGATCAGTCCCATCCTCCCAGCCCTAGAAAATAGCGGTGAGCACCCTGTGGGGCCCTCCATCTGTCTGCTGGCAGGAACAGGTGGGGACAGGAGGAGACAGGCCGCTAGCAGTGTCTAGGGCTCGTGATAAACAGCCCCGTCTAGACGGATGAGGAGGGCAGGGGCTTCTGGCCAGGAACCTGCTGCTGCATTGTGGGGACACCCACCTGAGCACAAACAAGCCAGTGAGTGTCCTCGGTCCTGGAGGGACGGGGCTGTCACTGTGCTGGGCTCCCATCCTGCGGCACCTCTCTAGCTGGGTGACCTCCAGCAAGTCTCCTGAAAGCCCAGAGGCCCGGTCCGCATAGGGGGCGGGGCAATGTCTCCTTCCAGATCTGATTCAGAGCAACAAAGGCAAGGCAGCTTGTCCTTGGGAGAGGCCATCCCAGGTACCATCTGCCTCTCCTGACCTTCAGGGCCAACAGCATCACCTCCCATACCCAGCAGAGCTCCAGATGTCCGCAGCCAGCCCTAACCTGGGCACCCCACCATGCTCTTGACGTGTCTCGCCCAGCCGTCAGCGGGCACATGGTCTCAGGTGTGCCCCTGCGTTGGCTGAGCTCTCGAGGTGACCACCCGGTCCACAGGAGCCCCCACCTCCACCTCAGTACCTCTGTCCTTCGTCCTCAGTGGGTCCCCTGTCCTTGTCCGCAGCTCACTAGAAGGTGAGCTCCAGGGGGCAGGGAACAGGTGACTTTATCCACTGCTGCCTCCCTTGAGCTGGCGGCTCAGACAGACAGGAGGAGGGGCTCAAGGAGCATTTGTTGAATGACAGCCAGGTAGAAGGGTGCGTGACACAGTCAAAGAATCAGTGATATGGATGAAGCCAGGTACAGCTGAATGGACTCGGACCCGGCCGATCCCAGGTTCTAGAACTTTCCCAGGCAGCCTAAGTCATGACCACTGACCTGAACCCTGAGCTGGGTGTGGGTTACAGAGAGCCCGGGCTGCGCCCTGCAGAGTCCAGCCACCCCGGCCCCTGGCCCCCCTTAGCCACACCCTCCCCTTCCAGCCAATAGACATCATTAGAGCCAACTCCGAGCTGGGCATTGGACAGGAGCCCAAGACATGGATGTGCCATGGTGTGGCCCCTGGCCCCACAGAGTTTGGGGTCTGGAGAAGGGACAGTCATAAACACTGTTCAAAGACAGCACGTGAGCGAGGGTGTACACTTACGTGTGCAGAGGGCTAGGGAGGTACCCTAGTTTGCCCCGGACCATCCCAGTTCAGCCACATTGCCCTTGTGCCATTAGAGTCCTCCTTTGTTCTCCCAAGTGTCCCAAGTGTCATCCTCCAGGAATGACAAATCCCCTGGTTGCCCAAGTGTGAGCAAAGCATGGAGGAGGGTCACATATCCCCACATAGAAAGCAGGCGGGCTTCCAGGAGGAGGGGGTATCTGCCTGAGCCTCACAAAGGTAGTGTGGGATGAGGAGGAAAGGACTGCCATCGGTGAGGAGGGGGAGGTCTGCTATGAAGAAGAGAAAGGTAGGGACCTCCACGGGAGGCCGCTGGCTGCTGGGCCCCGGGATGGGAGTGGGCGTGTACCAGACAGGGGACAGTGGACACCCCCGGGAAAGTGGGCACAGGCACACAAGCGGCCTTCCTCCCAAGTGCCTTTCCTGTGGTTCATCTCAAATTACCTGTGGCTGGTCTGACACGGTGGTCAAAGCTCCGTGGCTTCATTTGGTTTGGTTTGGTTTTCCCAAGCGGATATCCGGGAGTTCCAGCCCACTTGGAAAGATTTCCCTTCTCTCGTTGAATCACATCGGCACCACGGTGTAAATCCATTGATCATACAGGGCGGGTCTGTCTCTGACTCTGTTTCCCCAATCTACTGGCCTGTCCTTCTGCCAACAGCACCATGTCCGTTACCGTGGCGAGCTCGTATGTCCTAAAGTCGCGTGGTCCGAGCCCTACAGTGCTCGGTTTCTTTCTGGGGACCCGCACTTCGGCATACGTTTTAGAATCCGCCTGACGAGGTCTTCAGAAGCCCGTGGAAACTTTCACCGAGATTGCATTGAATCTGTTGAACAGAGAATGGGCATCTCAGCGACGGGGAGTCTTCCGATGAACATGCACGGTTTGCCCGCGCGCAGTTCTCTTCCATCGTGGTCTCCTGTACGTGCTTTGTAAACCCCATTCCTAGGGACCTGAGGTTTCCAGATGCCATGTGGATAAGCTCTGCATTTCATTTTCCAGCTGTTCGCCGACAGTGTCTTGGTTTTTTATATTGATCCTGACTTGTTATACGATCTAACAGCCATCCCGCCAAATTGCTGAATGTCCTGGCTGGTTCCAGTCGTCTCTTTGAGATGACTGAGCATTTCCTATGGACGCGATCCCACCATTTGTAAACGGAGATCGTCTCTCTACGTCCCGTTTTGGTGGACACCTGCCACGCCGCGTTGAGTAGAAATCGTTGACGCGGACATCCTCACCGTACCTCGATCTTAGAGGGATGATGTTTATTATTTTACCATTAAATACAATATCATCGGCAGGCCTTTTATTTCCTTTGTCATGTTGATCTCATTCCCATCTATTCCTAGTTTCCTGAGAGTTTGGGTTTCTGTAAGTTATGTACAGGTATCGAATTTTATCAAATGCTTTTCGTCATGTGTGAAGACAACAACGTTGGGACGCCTGGGTGGCTCCGTGAGTTAAGCACCGATTCTTGATTTCGACTCAGGTCATGATCTCAGGGTGGTCAAATCAAGCCCCACGTTGGGCTCTGCATTGGCTGTGGTGCCTGCCTGGGATTCTCTCTCTCCCTCTTCCTCAACCTCTACCCCCTCACCCTCTCTAAGAAATAAAGAAAGGGAGGGAGGGAGGGAGGAAGGAAAGAGGGAGGGAGGGAGGGAGGGAGGGAGGGAGGGA